ATGCTTAAGTAGCAGGACTATTTAATAGCTGTTCTTCTCTGGCAGTGATGGAGAATAGCAGGGAAAAGATGCCATCTGTTCCACTGGGACAGACAGCATTTTCTCCAGGACTGGAGAGCTGCTTCAGTCAGCTTTCTTGTCACTGGCAGAGCCAAGGAGCAGAAATGAATGCTTTGTTCAAGTCTACAGTGTGGTAGGAAGGACTTGTAGCCAATTCTCAAGCTAACATCAAAAGCTGCATCAGCAACTGCCTGCTGGTTATGCAGCTTCATGGACAAGACCCAACTCACATGGGGGCTCATGAGTTTGCAGGGAAGGACTGGAGCAGAGGGCAGCAGAAGGGGAGATGATGGTATTCAATGAAAAAGGCCAGGGACATGTCTCTCACCTTGATTCTTATACAGAGAAATAAGCCCTCAGAAGTGTGTGAACCTTTAGAAATGGAGATAAGCTCATTCACACCCCGATGTCCAAAGCCTTCCTCAAAATTTAGGGGAATTTTGAGGTTGTATAGTCACCTGTGCTCCAGTGACCCTCTCTGCATTTGTAGCTCCTGATTTTCTCTATGTGGATACAGACCCACCCAAAGACCAACCCCAAAGCAAACACAAATTCAGCCGGCTGTGCAAAACAATTGTGCCCCATAGGGCAAAAGCCTTAATATTGTGGGCTAGACATTCTTATCCCCTCCTATAGTAGTGATTGAGCCCACAGCCTCACATATGCTAGACAAGTACTCTACCACTGAGACACACTCCAGTTCTTTTTACTTTTTACTTTTTATTTTATTTTGAGGCAAGGTCTAAGTTGCCCAGGCTGGTCTAGAATCTACAATCATCCTGCCTCAGCTTTCTGAGGCACAATTATAGGCATGTGAACATTTTTACTTTAAAAAAAAAGCCTAGAGGCAACCACTGATCTAATTTCTAGCTCCAAAACTTAGATTTGCCTGCTCTTAGATTCGATATAAAAGGTATATGCCACTGTCTGCCTGGTTTCCTCAGCTCAGTGTACTTTGTGTGTGTGTTCATGTGTGTGGTATTGGCGAGGGAATTGAGGGCAATGCTCATGTGAGGCAAGTGCTCCACCACTGAGCTGTAGCCCCAGCTCCTAAATTTTTTAAAAATTTGGGACAGTCTCACTAAGTTGCCCAACCTAGATTTGAACTGAAAATCCTCCTGCTTCAGCCTTCTGCATAGGTGAAATTACAGATGCACCCTGCTTCAACATAACATTTTGGGGATTCAGGCACATTGTTATATACAGTGATTGTTCGCTTTTGTCAGTTGATCAGTAATGTTTCATTGTATGGATGTGTCATAGTTTTTTCATCTAATTTTCTGTTGTTGGACATTTGGGTAGTTTCCAGTGTTTTGATTATTATGAGTGCTTGCTGCTATGAACATTTATGTACAAGTCCATGAACACCTGGAACTTTCATTTCTTTTGAGAAAATACCTAAGGAAGGAATTGCTGGATTACAAAAAGTGTGTAGTTCACTTATGAAAACTATCAAACTGTAAAGTACTGGGCTATTTTTTCACTTGCACAAACAATGAACAAGAGTTCCAGTTGCTTTATATCCTTGTCAACATTTATTGTTGGTCAATTTTGCTTTATCCACTCTTTCATGAAATTTCTTTTTCTTTTTTCTTTTTTTTTTTTTTTTTTTTTTTGAGACAGGGTGTTGCAGTCTTGACCAAGCTGGACCTGAACTCAAGTTCTTTCTGATTCAGCCTCCTGAGTAGTTGGGATTACAGGCACGCACTGCCACACCTGATTTCATTATGGTTTTAAAGCCAGTCCTTTGTCAGGTACATTGCAAATATTTTCCCTTAGTCCTGTGATATTGCATTTTCTTTTATTTCCCTACACTTTTTCTCCTCCTCCCCCTCCTCCTCCTTCCTTCTTCTTACCCCACCCTCTCTGTAGGGAATCAAACCCAGAGGGCCTCATACTTGTTAAGCAAGAACTCTAACACTCTAATACTACAGCACATATATTTTTATTCTTTTAATAGTATTTTTCTTTTTTTCTTTTTTGTCTTTTTCCTTTTTATCGGTACCGGGGATTGAACTCACGACTGCCTGCTTGCAAGGCAGGTGCTTATGCCGCTGAGCTAAATTCCCAGCCCCTTAATAGTATTTTTCTAAGAGTCTTCCAACATTTTACTATGCAAACTTTCACATGAACAGAAAAATTGAAATAGCTGCACAGTGAATGTTTACCTTTGTTCACTACAGTTAACATTTCCCTGTATTTGTCTTGTTATGCATCAAATTATCCCTTTCTCCACCTCCTGATTTTTTGAGGCAGGGTCTCATTATGCAGTTCAGGCTGGCCTTGAGCTCACTTTCTAGCCCAGGCTGGTCTCATTTGTAACAATCCTCCTGCCTCAGCTTCCAGAGTACTGGGATTACAGGTGTGTGCCACCACACCCATAAAAGCAATGGAACTGTCTCATCTTGATTGGATGGTGGTCACATGAGTATATAAATAGGTAAGAAGTAACTGAGCTCTTATATTTCAGTCATGGGTATTTACTGTATGTAAATCATTGTTCAGATGAAAACAAACAGATCCTGCCACCACTCCACACACAAGCAGAAGGACATGTGATGTTTGTGGCTATATTACCAGTCTCTAGAGTGCTTGATGCAAACTAAACACTCAGTAACATTTGCTAAATGAGTCGATGAATAACGAGAGAATTTCTTGCAACACCTGTTATGCTCCTAACATTTCCACAGACACCAAGGTAAGGCAATGGCAGTGGTGTTTCATCACAGATCCAGATGCTTCAGCAGAACTGCAGCCACCTTTGGGGCTCTACTAGAGATCAGAGTTGCTCATCTTACAGCATATGTTTATTCAATTTGTTTAATGAATATTTAATGAATTGTGTTATATACAAAACCCTTTTTCAAGTTCCTTCAGAATGTTTTCTTTTCTATGGTAGTGGGAATTGAACTTGTTCAATCTGTCCTTAAGCTACATTGACAGCCCTTTTGAAGCTTATTTTTTATTTTGAAACAGTCTCTCACTAATTTTCCCAGGCTGGAATCAAACTCATGATCTGCCTTCCTCAACCTCCCAGAGTGCTGAGATTATAGGAATGTGCTGTAGTGCCTGGCAGGATTAATTTTGATAGGCAATTCAATTTCGTGGTTTTCCAACCTTGGGATTTTTGTTACTGTTTTTTGAGACAGGATCTCACTATATAGTCCAACTGGCCTTGAATTCATGACGATCCTCCTGCTTCAGCCTCAAGTGCTAGGGTTATAGGCATTTGCCATCATGCTGGGCCAGCGCTGGAATTAAACCCAAGGCTTTCACACTGAGCTTTAATTTAAGTTCTTTTTTTTTTTTTTTTTTTTTTAAGACATGGTCTCATTGTTGCTTGGGCTAGGCTCTAACTTGAGATTTTCCTGCCTCAACCTCCCACAGTGCTTGGATTATATGCCTGTGCCAGCATGCCTGATTGTACTTGAGATGCTTTACAGTAATAATTATTTAGAAGCAGAGCTCCAACTTGGGAGGGAATACTGTGGCTTCTGATCAGTGATGCCCACAAGGTCTGAGCATACAGCCCTGCATACCCTCCACCCCATCCTTCCTCATCGTGCAAGAGAGCAAATTCTCCCTTGCATGTCCACAACTTAGCCTATAAATTGGTTCCCCCTTTAAGAGTTATTTTCCCTGGGGCTGGGGATTTAGCTCAGCGGCATAAGCGCCTGCCTTGCAAGCAGGCAGTCGTGAGTTCGATCCCCAGTAACGAAACAAACAAACAAAGAGTTCTTTTCCCTTTAAAATTACCCTCTGCAAGGGCCACAGATTTAGCTCAGTGGCATAAGTGCCTGCCTGGAAAGCACAAGGTTCTGAGTTCAATCCTGGTACAAAAAAAAAATTACCCTCTATGTGTCCCAGTCTGATAACACTGTACGATGCCACAGGCTTACCTGAGTTTTCTCCTTTTGCCTTCACTTTTTGATACATACTGCCAACAGCCCCCTTATCTGAAATCGGAATCCACCATGCACCCAGGTGTGGGTGTGCATCTGTGATTCCAACTATTCATGAGGCTGAAGCTGGAGGATTGCAAATTTGAGGTCAGCCAGGGCAATATAGCAAGACTGACTACAAAAGAAGCTCCTATGGAAACAAGCTCAGTTCTGTTTATCTCTGTGCACTGAGGGAAGGCCATTCTCTCCTCGTGGGACCCATTCTTGATTCTCTTTGTGGAACTTAGGAACTCCTCTGGGACAAGGAATAGATTGGACCGGTAGGTCCTGAGGACTTCTCTGGCCAGGTCAGCAGATGCTTCAGGACCCTCCGGCCCATGAAGGAGGTGTCTGGTTGAGTGGGTCCTGGGTAGGTCCTCTGCAGTGATTTTCACATTTATCCTACAAGCAGCCCTGCAGCTCCAAACCCCTGGCAGGACTCAGAAGTCAGGGAAGGGCCCTGTTTCCTCAAATAATTTGATTTAAGGCAAATGTTATAAACATAACAGATGACACAAAAAATCCTCTGATTTATTTATTAGCTAAAGTTCATTCAGCAGATGTTCTGACCTCTTACTGTATCCTTCTAGGGTTAGGTGATACCAGACAGACATTGTCTAGCTGCCCTCCCCCCTCATTTTTTCTTAGTTATGATACTGGAAATTGAACCCAGGGCCTTCACACTGAGCTACATCCCCAGCACTTTTTATGTTTTATTTTGAGACAAAGTCTTGCTAAGTCACTGAGTTTCTCAGGCTGGGCTCAAAGTTGCAATTCTATTGTCAGCATCCAAGGGTTCTTAGATTGTCCAGCTCCTCTTGTGTATGTGTAAGGAGGTTATTTAATTGAAGTGTAATTTACACAAAGTAAACCATCTTCTGGTTCCCCAGCTGTCAATGCAACCCCCCCTTCTGAAAAGCCTTTGGGGAGGGTCTGCAGGCCCTGATGAAGAACTCTTCCCCCTTGCCTGCCCCTTTCAGACTGTCCAGGGCTCCAAACCTTTAAGTCATTCAAGCGAGTCTGGATCTTCTCCACTGCCCTGTCCAGCACTACGTAGCGATTCTTCATTTCCTCTATTTGGGTGCCCCAAATTCTCTCAAGTTCTTCCTCCTAAAGGGGGAGGACACAGACACCTGAGGCCTCTGCTCTTGAGGCTGGCATGGCTGGAAAGAGCCTAAGGCCAAGAAGAAAGTGCCAGACTTGTGCACTCTAACCTGCACCTCAACAGTTACTTGACATGCCCATTAGAAGGAATCGCAGTCACCCACCTCTGAGGCCCTGTACAGCCCCTTCTTTCTTAGCCTGCCTGGCTCACTTCCTTAGTCTTCCTCTCAGCTACAGGACACATGCTGTCTCTAGAGGGTTGTGGGGTACAAGGGTCAGCCCCCTGGACACTGCAAACCATCATCTTCTCAAAAGTTCCTCTCTGCCCAGGACACTGACCTTTTGCCTGGATTTCTGGAGGCTGATAATCTTTTCCTCCAGTAGGTCTACTGCCGTTCCAAACCTGGAAGCACCTCCCATGTCAGCTGAAAGCAAAGAGGGGAGCAGCTGTCAGGTATAGGGATGGTCAAAGACTAGCTAGCACTCCAGCTGCTGACATGATGCCACTAAGGCAGTGCCATCCTACAGAAATACAGAACTAGGGAACCTTGGAGGTAATGTTAGATTTTATAGTAGCCATATTTTTAAAAATTTTTTTAAAAATATGTGGAATTAATTTTCACAAGCTACTTTATTTAACTCAATATATCCCAAGTAGTATCACTTTAATAGGTAATTTTTAAAAATTCTTTAGTGCTGGAGATTAAACCAAAGTCTTCCTATATGGTTTTTTGTTGTTGTTGTCTTTTTGAGACAGGGTCTCTCTATGCAGTTCAGGCTGGCCTTGAGCTCACTTTGTAGCCTAGGCTGGTCTCAAACTCACAACAATCCTCCTGCCTCAACCTCCCGAGTTCTGGGATTACAGGTGTGAGCCACCATACCTGGCTAGTCCTCCTATATGTTCTGTCAACATTCTGCTACTGAGCTTTGCGCTCTAAAATTAATGAAAATTTTTATTCTTAATTTTGTAGTAAACTTTCCATATCTTGTGTGCACTTCATGTAGAGGTCACATCTGAATTTGGACTGGCCACATTTCAGGGCTCTGCATTACACACTGATTGTGGTGATCCTATCAGATACCAAAGACCTAAGAAAGTACCTCCAGAACTTACTACCTAACACCAAGAAATGACCTTGAGCAAAAGCTGTGAAGCATGATATTTTAATGTGTGCGTGTGTCTGTGTGTTTGATGCTGGGAATTGAATTCAGGTCCTCACACATGCTAAACAAGCACATACCACTAAGATACATCCAAGCCCTGAAGTATCTTAGTTATGAAAGTCTCTGAAGTATATTATCTCTCCTTAAGATTAAAAATGGGTACATTTAGCAAAACAAAGGGAATCTTTTTTTCAAAAGTAGCCTATATCAGTTACATCTAAACAGCTGGTGAGGCCAAAAACTATATAAATAAAACAACCAAGAATGCAAGAAAAACTGTTGCCAAGACAAAGTTTAAATGCTGTCTTGTTTTCTTAACAAAACTGACAGATGTAGAATCTAGGCTATTATTGCTTTATATTTTAAATTTATTACTATCCTCATCATAGCTATAGCTGTATTCAAGAATGTTATAATATGGCTGTTTGATTTATTTATTTTATTTATGAGACAGGGTCTTGGCCCTAAGTTCCCTGTGTAGCTGAGGCTGGTGATGATCCTCCTCCCCCAGCGTCCCAAGTGCTGGGATTATAGGCCAATACCACTATACCCAATTTCTTTTTAGCTACCTGAAGTTTCACTCTTTTTCCCCCTAGATTTGTGGAATAGCACTGCTTATCAGGAGAAGGCAAACTAGATTTGTGACTTTAGTGAATTCAGTTATTGTACTTCTCAGACAGTAAAAAACCAAGATGATGATTCAAAAGACCAGAAGAAAGTGGATCTCAAAATGGTTTCCCTAAGTTCACAGCCTCAGCATCAGCATCACCTGGGATCAGGTGAGAAATGCAAATTCTGGGGACTGGAGATGCAGCTCAGTGGTAGAGTGCTTGCCTAGCATGTGTGAAATTCTGGTTCAAGCTCCAGAACTGAAAAAGAAAAAAAAAAAAAAAGATAAATGGAAATTCTTGGGACCTGTTTAGATCAAGCTCTAAGAGTAGAACCCAGTCATCTGGTTTACAGGACCCTCCAATGGACACTGAGCTGGGCACAAGGCTGAGGATGGATCATCCTTTTTTTCTTTTCTTTCCTTTTTGCTGTTTTTTTTTTTTTTTTTTTTTTTTTTGTCTTTTTTCATTTTTATCAGTACGGGGGATCCAACTCACAACTGCCTGCTTGCAAGGCAGGTGCTTATGCTGCTGAGCTAAACCCCCAGCCCCGCTGTTTTGTTTTATAACACAGAGTCTCACTATGTAGTTTAGGCTGGCTTTGCATTCACTGTATAGCCCAGGCTGGCCTCTACCTCAGGGCAATCTCCCTGGTTCAGTCTCCTGAGTGCTGGAATCACAGGTGTGTGTCACCATGCCCAGCCTTCCCTCCATTCTTAAAGTGTATGTTCTGGCCACTCAGAGGGAACTGTGGTCTCTCAGGAGCAATATTTGCTTATACTTGCTCTTAATTGCAAGCTGACCTCTTTGGATTTTGCTCAGTGGTCATTCTCTGGTCAAGTCACACTAACACACTATATGTAACTATTTTGTGGGCAATTGAAAAGGAGTTTTCTTTTTCTTTTTTCTGAACTGAGGTCCTCATGCATGCACTCATCCCCTAGCCATTTTCATTTTACTTTAAGACAAGTGTCCAGGCTGGCCTCAAACTTGCAATCTTCCTGCCTCAGCCTTCTCCTGAGCAGCTGGGATTATAAGTATATGCCATTGTTCCTACTATGAAAAGGAGTTTTGAAGAGTAATTTGTACATGAAATTTTCCTCTTTAAGTGCCAACTTCAGATCCTAACAGCCTCTCTTCCCCAAGATAGGAGCTCACTGTACACGCACAGTAAAATAAACTAGTGCTGGGAATGGCAGCACATGCCTGCAATCCCAGAAATCCAGGAGGCTGAGGCAGAAGGACAACAAATTCGAGGCTAGTCTAGCCAATTTAGCAAGATCTTGTTTCAAAGGGGAAATAAAGGGTTGGGGATGTAGCTTAATATACCATGGACTGGGATCAATCCCCAGCACTTCTACCACAATTAAAAAAAAAAAAAAGAAATAATAGACTAGTAGAAAGCTATGTTTAAGCCAAAAGAATGAATGCATGTAGATTTTGTGGGTAAAACCAAACAAAAGGGGCAGGTTGCATGGAGGACCTACATGCCCTGCTACCCTTCCTACTTACCTAGATAATTAAAGCGCTGTTGCAAATTAGATGACAGCTGGGCCAACTCTTCTTTCAAGTTGTCATGTCTAATGGGTATTTGGGCTATGTGGCTCATGGAGTGCTTGACGGCTTTCTTCTTGTCTTCAGGGCTTACGGCCTGTGTGGCAGCTAGCATACTCTGGGACAGCGATGAGTCATAAATGCCAAGGCCCATGGTGGATAGGGGAGAGACTGCTTTAGAGCCTGTCACATGGTCTTCCTGCTTCTCACCGTCAGTGCCAAGGGCTGTGGAGTCTAGAGCTCCATGGGAAAACCCTGCCCCTACAATATCTGCAAAGACGAAGGGCCCAGACGCTGCCATAGTTGTTGCCTCAGTAGCCATTTTGGTGGCAGGGGCTTCCTCCAACACCTTTGCAGCGGCCCTGGCTGTCTGGGCTGCTGAGGTTGCAGCAGCTGCATAGGCAGCAGCAGCAGCAGTGGCTGTGGCAACGGTGGTTTTCAGCCGATGCAGGGCAGACTTGGGGTCCTTAGCTCCTACTTCTGGGGCCCTGTCCCTAGGGACCCCATCCTTGGGGACCACATCCTGGAAGTCTTTTTCTTTTGGTGCCTCATCTTTGGGAGATCCCTCCCAAGTGTGTTTCACATAATATTTTCCCCCCTTTTCTTCAATCATGGGGAGCTGGTGGGACTTTCTCTTGAGAAGTTGAACAGCCTGCAGTGAAGGAGGCCATGCTGATCCAAATTCCCGAGCTGGAGGCGGTGCCCTGAAGGGCTGGAGCTGAGAAGACTGCAGGGTACCTGATGGACTTGTGCTAGGCTGGACTAAACCTTCATCCAAGAAAGGCAAAGGGCCAATCCCAGGTCCAAAGGTAACCAAAGGTGCTGGTGTGTACTCAGGTGTCACAGGGGGACCTGGTGTAGCCAGGGACTGGGATTCTGGTCCCAGCACAGTTTCAGGTTCAGGTTCAGTTGCAGGTCCAACTACAGACCCAGACCCAGTGATGAGGGCCTGAGGCTGGCCTGGCTCCTTGGCACTGCCGGATGGAAGTGCCTGGACAGATTCCTGGTCTGATAAGGGTACCTGGATGTCAGAGTGCCAGGGAGCCTGTAGAATCCTGAGGCCTTGGATAGGCTCTGGAACATGGGGGTGACCAACCTTTTCAATGTTCTGGGTCTGGGCAATGGCAGCCTGTGGGGGTGGCTCCGTGGTCTGCCACATGTTGGACAGCTCCAGCTCTTGTGAAGCAGCCTTCTGAGGAAGAAGGGGCTGACGCAGCTGGGCAGCTCCCCCTGCTGCACCTGCCCCAGGTCCTCCTCCTCCACTCGCTGGGGTGAACATGGCCTCATGGAGGCTACTCCAGAACACCACATCTTCAGAGCTAGGGACAGCATGGAGCTTTTTTTGGAGAGACATCTGTGAGTGGGGTGGAAAACAGGAGGTATGTTGCTCTCAGGAGCTCATCACCCTCAGTGCCTTCTACATTTACAAGAAAAACCTTTCCAGACTATGCTCCTTTCCCTTCCACACCTTGTCCCAGACCCCAGGGAGGGAGGACAGGGCAGGGGACCCTTACCATTTCACGCTTCAGAACAATCATCTGTCGGTTCAGAGTTTTCAGGTCTTCAGAGATGAGATCCAGTCTTTCTAGGGGTACCTATCACATGACCTGAGTCTGTGGGCTGGGTACACAGGTGCTGGTCCCAGCCCTGCTGCCTCCCATGAGGCTAGATGACTAAGAGCTTGAGAAGAAGAACAATTTCCCAGGGAAGGAAAGGGAGTGTGAAACAGACTCCATACACAAGTAAGACGGGAAAATGCTGAGCTAAAATCATTCTGGGGGTTTCTATACTGCAGCATTTCTCAGAACTTTGAGAAAAAATACATTAACAATCCCTAAAAGGTGGGCCATGGAGGCACTATATCTCAAACAGATCTGTCCACAGGGTCCTTTTCAGCATTTCATGGTGTTGCTTCCTGACAGTGCCTTTTCTACTTACAGAGGAGCTATCTAGACCAAGACTGAAGTTCAAATGCACGCCCTGACCTACAAATCCAGAGTAAAACAAAAATCACATTATTTGGGGCAAATGGCTAAGCCTCAGCCACCATGCTGACCTCGGAGTATGAAGACAAGGCTGCTGACCAGTTGTGGAGTAGGGGAAGTGCCTCAGGCTTCAGGGATTTTGTGTCCTTCCATGTAATGGTAGGATGCTGCAACATGCTTAGTGGCACAGCTTGGGGCCACAGAAGAAGACAGTGTGTGTTTCTGTGTCAGGTTTATCCCACTTTTTAGTGTGAACAGAGCTTTGTACAAAAAGAAAAAGATGTTCTTTCTGCTGAATTGGTAGAATGTCAGCTTAGAGTTGTCAAGACTTGAGAAATACTTGCCTGAGAATGAAGGCATCATTGAGACATGTCAATGGTGTATAAGTGCCTAGACCTAACTGTATCTGAAGGCATTGCTGGATTTTTAGTAAATGAGACAATACATTCTATTATTTTTCCTAAGTTAAAATGAACTGGGTTTCTGCCACTTAACAATGTCCTAAAACAATGGTATGAGAAGCATGAAAGAGCTGCAGAAAGCTCAGCAAAACAGGCCAAGTTTTTAAGTCAGGTTATTCCCCTTCTTTACTCATGGTTGCACTTTTTTTTTTTAATCAGTACCAGGGATTGAACTCATGACCACACGCTTGCAAGGCAGGCATTTATGCTGCTGAGGTAAATCCCTAGTCCCTATGGTTGCATTTTTTGACTAACAACAGGCTTCTTAGATGATAGTGGTAATGTATAGCTATAATCACAGCACTTGGGACCCTGAGGCAGGAATATTACAAGTTTAAACCCAGCCTAGACAATTTAGCAATTTAGTAAGGCCTGTCTCTTAAAAACTAAAGGGATGGGGGCTGGGGATTTAGCTCAGTGGCATAAGCACCTGCCTTGCAAGAAGGCAGTCGTGAGATCCCCGGTACCGATAAAAAAGAAAAAGACAAAAAAAAAAAACCCAAAAAACTAAAGGGATAGAGATTTTAGCTTAGTACATAGGCCCCAGGTTCAATCCCAGTGCCACAAAGAAATTAAAAGAAAGAGCCCTTCTTTATTACCCCAACCACCAGAGTTTTGAAAAGCACGGCCAGTGTAGAGAACGTTAAGACAGGAACTACCTTTTCGAACACATCCTTTAGCATGTCCACGTCCTTCCTCAGGTCTCCAACTGTGGCCTTGAGTGTAGAAAGATCAGTGAGCAAATCCTGCAGGATCTGTATGGACTGGAAAGGGAAAGAAGAAGGAAACTTTGAAGTTGGGTATAGCTGGAGTAGAAGTCAAGGGAAGCACGGAAGCTTTCTGGTGACAGGAGAGGGGTCCTCCTCACTCCACTAGGCCTAAGCTGGAATGTACTCTGAGGCAAGAAAATCATGTTCCAGACAATGGTGCTCTACATCCCAGGTATTCTGCTTGGGAAAGAGGCAACTCTTTGGGTATGAATGCACCCAATAACAGGAGTTACTCATCATGGAGCATCATACCCTTCTCTCTGTGTGATGCATGTCAGCCAGGATGACGGCTGCAGGAGGAAGCATAGTTTGGGTGGGGACCCTTGGAGGATCAGAAGTAGGAGAGATGTGACTAGATTTATATTTTTAAAAGATCTCTCCGGCTGCATACAGAGACTAGCTATAGAGTACAAGAGGGAAATCTAGGGGAATAGTGAGGTAACTTTCAGGCAGGCAAGAACTGATTGTTAAAGGTGGGTGTGGTGGTATATGACTATGATCCCAGCATTCTGGAAGCCTGAGGCAGGGGAATCCCAAATTTTAGCCCAGCCTAGGCAATTAAGTGACTAGTAAGACCATCTATCAAAAGGGTGAGGATGTAGCTTGGTGGAAAGACTCTGAGTTCATTCCTTGGTACTGAAAAACAAACAAACAAAAAGCTGGTGGCTGCAATGCTAGGCTTATACACACATAGATAGTACATGATTATCTCACCTGATGCAGAAAATACTCACATAGTGGTACATGTATGTAATCCCATTACTCTGGAGGTTGAGGCAGAAGGAGTTGCAAGTTTGATCAAGTCTGTACAACTTAGCAATTCAGAGAGACTCTGTCTCAGAATAAAAAATAGAAAAGGTGGGGCTGGGGATTTAGCTCAGTGGCATAAGCACCTGCCTTGCAAGCAGGCGGTCGTGAGTTCGATCCCTGGTACCAATAAAAACGAAAAAAGACAAAAAAAAAAAATAGAAAAGGACTAGGGAGGTATGTAAATGCAAAGATTCTCCATTCAGTCCCCAGTATGGCAAAGAAACCAAAACCAAGACCAAAAATCACTCAATAAACCATGAATAGAACTTCCTCAATGTGATGGATAGTAAAGGGCTGAGAGCTTCACAAGGGTCTAAGATGTGTGGATCTCTAGGTTCAATCTTGAACACTACAAGATGAACAAATCTCCTCAAAACAGAGTCTGGATAATTTCCTCCTAAGATCAGCAATAAGACAATGTCTGTTCCCACTACTTGTATTCAGCACTGTCTAGAGGCTATTTCCAGAGCAATTAGGTTACAAAAGGTAAAAAATGGCATCCAAGTTGGGAAGGAAGTAAAATCACTTTACAGAAGACATTATCTTGCAAATAGAAGGTTCTAAAGAACCCACTATTAGAAAGAATAATTGAGTTTAGCAAGATTGCAGAATGTAATACTCACATGAGAAAATCAAGCTACATAGCTGAGTGTAGTGATACACTCCTATAATCCCAGCACTCAGGAGTCTGAGGCAGGAAGAACGCCAAGAGTTTGAGACCAGCCTAGGCTATATGGTGAGTTTGAGGGCAGCCTGAACTGCACAGAGAGATTGTTTCCTTTAAAAAAAAAAAATTAAGCCAGGCACGGTACCATATACCTGAATCTCTGCACTCTGGGAGGCTGAGGCAGGAGGATCATAAATTCAAGCCCAACCTGGGCTAGACAGCAATTTAGTAAGACTCTGCTTCAAAAATAAATAAATAAAAATGTACTGGGAGGGGCTGGGGATTTAGCTCAGCGGCATAAGCGTCTGCCTTGCAAGCAGGCAGTCGTGAGTTCGATCCCCAGTACCGATAAAAAGACAAAAACAAAAAAAAAAAAAAAAAAAAAGAAAAGAAAATGTACTGGGAATCAACCATGGTGACTCATGACTGTAATCCCAGCGCATGGGAGGCTGAGGCAGTATTCAAGGCCAGCCTGGGTTACATAGCGAAACTCTATCCCAAAAAACAAACAAATAAATGTATTCCTATACATATACAACACATACTCAAAAAGTGAAACTAAAAAAGTAATTCCACTTGGCATAAAAAACCCAAGGAACAAATTCAACAAAAATGCAAAACTACATTGCAGTCTTTGCAGTACGAGGTTTCAGTGCAGGTTTTGTACTGTGCTACACTCACAGCATTTTTTTTTTTTTTGAGTCAAGTTCTTGCTAAGTTGCCTATGGAGCCTTGAACTTTTTTTTTTTTTTGTCTTTTTCCTTTTTATCAGTACCGGGGATCAAACTCACAACTGCCTGCTTGCAAGGCAGGCACTTATGCTGCTGAGCTAAATCCCCAGCCCCGAGCCTTGAACTTTTGATCTGCCTCCCTCGATCTCTAGAGTACCTGGGGTGAGAGACATGCACCTCTGAGTCTGGCCTCAAAAATACATTTGAAAGAAAACAAAAATGAACTGAATAAAAAAATGTAAATCCTCATGAATCAGAATATTTTACATTGTAAAAATGGCAATTTTTTCCAAATTAGTCTATAGATACAACCCAATTCCCATCAGCTCACTTCTTCATAGAAACTGGCAAGCTGATACATGTGGAATTTCCAAGGATCCAGAATAGTTAAAACTTCTTTTTTCCAGTGCTGAGGATCAAATGTAGGGCCTCACACATGCTAGGTAAGTGCCCTACTACTGAGCTACACCCCACTCTATTTATTTCCTTTTGAGATAGGACCTTGTTAAACTGGCCATGCTGGTCTCAAATTTGTGATCCTCCTTGTCTCAGCCTCTCAAGTAGCTGGGATTATAAACATGTGCTGTCACACTCAATTGCCGAAACAATTTTGAAAAAGAATAATACAGCAAGCCTCATGCTTTTATGATTTTCTTTTGGTACTGCAGATCAAATCATGACCTCATACTTGCCAGGCAGGTGCTGTGCCACTGAGCTATATCCCTGGCCACTACTTTCAAATTTTAAAGTTTACCACTATACAGCAATAACCAAGATTGTATGGTAGGGCCAGAACATACCATAGTAATACAACACTTGCCTGGCCTGTACAAGGCCCTGGGGTCCATCTCCAGAACTGACACAAACAAACAAAAAAGATAATGTGGGTCATTTACAGACTGGGGCTAGAAAGAATTAAACCACACGAGCAAGCAAGCCCAGTCTGGGAACCAGCACCATGTGCAGGCCACTGCTGGACTGAACCAGACAGACCCCAGTCTCTCCCTGTGAGTCAACGCCATCTGTGGAGTAGGAGTAGAGACAAAAAGGCCACACCAAGAAGCAGGCCCAGTCTGCGAACGAACCAACGCCATGCATGGATTGCCTCCAGATTAGAACAATCAGACCCTAACCCTTCTGGCACTCCGGCTGGCAAACAAGAAGTATCAGCATCCCCCTACCTCATCATAAGTGACTGGCTTATCTGGAGAAAACAAGCTGTAATGATAGCTATAGAGGTGAAATGTCTGGGTCTAATCATGGGTTCAGAGGACAGCAGTGCCCAGTGTGGCATCTGGGGGGATCTCCTGAGGGTCGCAGCCATTGTTGATTCCCAATGATCTTATTTTGGAAGTCCTATACCATTTCCATTGTTTTATTGGGCTCTTTTGTTTGGATTGATTATGTCAAATCCAATGGCAGGAGCTGCTATTTCTTTTTTCTTTTTTTTTCTTTTTTATCGGTACTGGGGATCGAACTCACGACTGCCTGCTTGCAAGGCAAGCACTTATGCCGCTGAGCTAAATCCCCAGCCCCTAGGAGTTGCTATTTCAAAGATAGCAAGAAATATTATGGTAGCATGTACTATTGGCTTATTTGAAATCATTTTTGTATTCATTGCTTTGTTTTTATTGTTTGTATTCTATTCTGTTCTGTTTGATTTTTACTATGCCCAAAGTTATCTGCAGCTATTTTGAAGACATCAAGAGGCATTATGGTAACTACTGTTGATTTTGTAATGTTTTGAAGTCCCGCATCTCTTACACTGGTTTGTTTTGATTGGTTTTATTGTTTTATCCTCTTTAAAATAAAAAATTAAAAGATAAATAATGTGATAGTAGCACAGAGACACACATATAGATCAACAGAATAGACTTGAAGCTGGGCATAGTGCCGTACGCCTACAATTCTAGAATTTGGGAGGCTGAGGCAGGAGCATTGCAAGTTTGAGACCAATGTGGGCTACATAGAGATCTTGTCTCAAAAAACAAATGAGATTTGGCTATTAGAAACCGTGCAGCTATATATGCTCATGGGTGAACATATATTGCTGTTGCCCATCAACTGCTGAATGGATACAAAAAGACGTAGCTTTTTTTTACCTAGTGGAGCACGACACTGCCAAAAAGAAGAAGCTGCTACAGACATTTCTAGGTAAACGGATGCACCTTGAGACCATACTCTTAAGTGAAATAAAGCAGATGCACTTGTAAATACTGCATTATTTCTCTGGCATGAGAAAGTAAAAGTGTAAATAAGGACCAAAATGTATAAAAGGTATTGTGAAATAGGAAGAAAATGTCCAAATGGGGAGAGGAGCAAGGAGGGAAGAAGGGAAAAGTAAAAAAAAATTGAACCTTTTGTAAATGGGAGGAGGGGATGAAGGGAGGATAGGACAATGGGGGAAAAAGAGATATGTTATCACGCACAGGTACAAATTCTCTGTGATGAATGTGATCATTATGTATATCTAAAATGTACTAATAAAATCTGATTGGAAAAAAAATAATAGAACTGAGAACCCAGAAATAAGCCTGTGCATATATAGTCAACAGATTTTCAACAAAAGCACCAAGATGATCTGACCCAATAAGGGAATTATGTCTAAGAAATGGTGTCAGAACTAGATAACATTGTGCAAAAGAGATATCCAGGTGAAGTGACACATACCTGCATTGCCAGCTACTTAGGAGGCTGAAGAAAAACAGGTGTTTGAGGGGCAACCCACTCGGGATCCCCTTCTGTCTCTCTTCAGACAGAAGCTTTCTTTCTCTCAATAAATATAT